ATCTCTCAGCTGCATCAGGGCACCCACCTGGGCAAGACTACACTCTCCAGTCTCATAGCCCAGGACTTTGATGTCCCAAACCTCAACAGATGGATAGAATCTGAAATAAGGAGATGCCCTGCCTGTGCCCAAGTCAACTCTCACCCTTGGGAAACAACAGACCTCGGGACCCGAGAACGAGGCACAGCTCCTGGTGACCACTGGGAAACTGACTTTACTGAGGTCGCCCTGGCCAATACGGCTACAAATATCTGCTTGTTTTCATAGATGCCTGCTCCGCCTGGACTGAGGCTTTTCCCACCAAGACTGAAACTGCAACCACGGCAGCCGGTCACTGCCCTCTGAGATAGTCCCCCGATTTGGCCTCCCTCTAGCTCTGGGGTCCGACAATGGCCCGGCATTCATTGCTCAAACCACAAAATTGTTAGCTAAAGCTTTAGGGATTACTTGGAAATTGCATTGTGCCTACAGGCCTCAGAGTTCAGGACAGGTAGAGAGAATGAATAGGACATTAAAGGAAACTTTAACTAAGCTCCACCTTGAGACAGGCGACAACTGGGTAAGGCTCCTTCCCTTTGCCCTCCTTCGTGTGCGCTGCACCCCTTATCTTAAGGGTTTCACCCCATTTGAAATCATGTTTGGCCGGCCTCCCCCTGTTCTACCCAAAATCGAGGACGAGGTCTTAGCCAACCTGGGTAACCATAACCTCCTCAGCTCTTTGCAGGCAATCCAGAGGCTGAGAGAACAGACCCGACAGCTAATCAAGGACACCAGACCCCAACCGGGGATACCCCAGTTACCGCCGCACGACTTTGCCCCCGGTGACTGGGTCCGGGTCAAGAAATATCAGCCTGCTTCCCTCGAGCCTCTCTGGACTGGCCCTTCTCTTGTTATCCTGACTAGGCCCACTGCTCTGAAGGTAGCAGGATGGAAATTTTGGATTCACCACAGTCAGGTAAAGAAAGCACACCCTGCCCTGGCCGGTTTGGCTCAGTGGTTAGAGTGTCCGCCTGCGGTCCAGAGAGACCCAGGTTCGGTTCCCGCTAAGGGCATGTACCTCGGTTGCAGTTTGTCCCCGGCCCTGGATGGTCGTGCGGGTGGCAGCCACTCGATGTGTCCCTTTCGCATCGATGTTTCTCTCTCTCTCTCTCTTCCTCTCTCTCTCCCTCCCACTCTATTGGTACAAAAAATGGAAAAATGTCCTCGGGTGAGGATAAAAAAAAAAAAAAAAAAAAAGCACACCCTGAGCAAATACCTGAGTGATGGGCCTTCCAGCGGATCCCCTGAAGGTAAAGCTCTCCAGGGTGTCCTCCTAGACTCTTTCCTGACTCTGATCGCAGGTAAGGCACCTACCCCATTTAGATGGACCCTTATGCACACCACAGAGGGAACCCTCATTGCTACCGACCTGCCTTATGCTGCGCCCTCATTCAATTTGGACCTTTATACCCTCCTCGGACCTGCACTAGGCATTGGCCTTAACGTTGAGGGTGCAGCCGGCGAATACTCCCCGGTGATCACAGGCCTAGTCGGCCCCGGACGCCAGGGGCCACAGACATCGAGGAGGCCCAGACACTGAGAAGGGCCTCTGGCACACTCAGCACTCTACACGCCCAGACCAGGAAAGCCCCATGCGGTTCCCTTTCTGACCACTACTGTGCTCAGTGGGGATGCGAGACCTCGGCTCTCGGACGGACATCCTGGAGCTCACCCGCACATCTCCTCCCCAGACTTACCACCCCCAGCCCCCGGGCCTGGGCAGGACCACAGTCGGCTCCTGTAACCCAGTGCAGCTTGGGGATAAGATGGTCACCGACCCCTCCTGGTTTACGGGAAAAACCTGGGAACTCCGGCTTTATGTGTTCGGGCCAGACCCAGGAGCTGCCTTCACTATTCAAAAGTCCCCAGTTAAGAAATCACTCTTGCCCATGGGTCCCAACTCAGTCCTCAACCATCTATTGCCTAAGCCTGCTCTTCCCTCCATTGTACCCTCGGAGGGGACACTCCTACTTCCTCCCCTAAGGGCATAGCCCGCTCGCGGGCCAGACCTACCCCGAAGCCCAAGGTTGAGAATCCCCCCCTTAGCCCTGGCCGGTTTGGCTCAGCGGTTAGAGCGTCGGCCTGCGGTCTGGAGAGAATCCCCTCCTTCCCACCCTTGATGCAGTTTTCTCCTTGGCTGATGCAACTAACCCCAAACAAACTCGAGACTGTTGGTTTTGCTCGAAACCCTCACCACCTTATTATATAGGTATCGGTACCAATGGGACAATAGGAAAAACCCAACACTCCATCCGGAACCAGTCACTCCAAGATGCACTCAGGGGCAGCCACTGCTGTGAAGGTACGGCCCCCGCCTGACCCTCGGAGACCTACAAGGACAGGGGACAAGCTTCATCATCGGCAACTACGACCTAAGCTCTTCCCGTTATGCGGACTCATGCGGGGACACTACCACCCTAACCCCATCAAGCCCCTCATCACAAGAGACTTGGGTCCTAACAGCACCCCCTGGGACTTGGTTTGCTTGCGCCTCAGGACTGACTCCCTGCGTCTTTCCCGTTGAAACCAAAGACTTGTGTATTGTTGCTAACATTATTCCGCAGATTTATTTCTTCTCTGGGGAGGCTGGAAGGGAACATCTACTAACCTCGGACATCACCTTTACAAGAGAGCCCCGATCCTAATCCCTCTCTTAGTTGGATCAGGCATTACAGGGTCGACAGCGGTGGGGTCAGCAGCTCTCTTAAAAGGCCATTATGACCTAGGCAGACTGTCAGCTCAGGTTACCCAAGATATAAATGACTCGAGGACCAGATATCTCACTTAGAGAAGTCTCTTGACTCCCTTGCCGAGGTGGTCCTTCAGAACCGCGAGGACTAGACTTACTGTTCCTTAAACAAGGAGGTCTCTGTTCAGCCTTAGGAGAAACCTGTTCTTTCATGCTAACCACTCTGGTGTTACTAGGGAAAGCTTAAGCCTGGTCAGAAAGCGGCTGAGCGAACGAGAAAACGCTCAGTCAGCCTCCAAGAATTGGTATGAGGACTTATTCGGCTGGTCCCCATGGCTCACTGCCCTTATCACTGCCCTCTCGGGCCCCTTAATTCTCCTCCTGTTAATGTTAACCTGTGGCCCAATCCTGATCAATCGCTTAATGCAATTTATCAGGGAAAGAGTACAGACTGTTCAGCTCACGGTCCTGAGCACTCCTTACCAGAGACCAGCCACGGCAGAAGAGACTGAAGACACTTATTTAGATTCAAGGATTTGAATTAGCCCCAAGACCAGTGAGGAATGTGAAGGACAGACAACAGGGCAATAAAACAAAAGAACATACAGCTAAAGTACTGTGAAAACTTGTAGTTAAAAATTTCCCTCTTGGTAACCTTGCCCTGGACCCTAAGGGGATTACAGGAACTAGGTAGGAGGGAGGGAGACAGGCATCGGCCGGAGCTGACCACTACACTGTGCAATAGAACTGCTCACCCCTCAGACACAATGGCTAACCGCAGATATCTGCTTCTGTACGTGCTTGCTCGCTGGCAGACCCTTAGCCCAATTCCTTAACAGGGGCTAAGACAACTGTATAAGCAGCCCTCCCCCTGAGCTCGGGCTGCTCTCTCCTCTGCTAGGGTGGGACGGTCGCCGCGCGGCTAATAAAGCTCTCTTCATTTGAACCCAGATCTGAGTCTGAGTCTGTCTCGTTGGTCTACACCGCCACTGGAAGCCACTGGCCGAGGACAGGAGAAATGAGACTTCCAGGGACGAGCCGCAGGGAAAGGATTTTAGCATCACCCCAAATGGACGCCACCTGACTTGGGAATGGAGAAGGGAGGAGCAGAGGGAGGGTGGGGTGTGAGGACGACAGGCTGAGAGGGGGTGGGGGGGCTCCCTGGGCAGCGACGTCTGGAACACAAGCAGGTGAGTCAGGGTCAGAACCCGAGAGACAGAACACAGGACCAGGCTCATGCTCTTACCACCCCCCCTCAGTCAGAAAGATCCCTGGTCATTGTATGGGCTGTACTGTGTCCCGCCACCGCAAATCGCTATGCTGAAGTCCTCAGAATGTGACTCTATTTGAGATAGGGCCTTTATAGAGGTGATTAAGTTTATTTATGTATTTAAAAAGTATTTTTGTCCGTACCTGAGGATATGTTCACTTAGTTTTGGAGAGAGGAAGGAGGAGAGAGAAACATCGATGTGAAAGAAAAACATGCATGGGTGGCCTCTGATATGTGCCCCGACCTAGGATCAAACCCGAAACCTTCGGTTGCACAGGAGGGCGCTCCAAGCTCCGACCCATCTCACCAGGCTAGGTGATTAAGTTTCAGTGAGACACAGGGGGAACCCTGATCCAACTGACTGATGTCCTTACAGGAAGAGGAAGTTGGACCCCTAGGGAAACCAGGGACTCAGCAGGGGTCAGGCACAGACGAAGGACTATGTGAGGACAGAGAAGGCAACCACGTGCAAGACACAGAGAGGCCTCAGGAGCAACCCGCCTTCGGACACCTGGATCTTGGTTCCAGCCTCCAGAACTGCAAGGGTGTGCGTGTCTGCTGTTAAGTCACCCAGTCTGTGGAGCTGCTGCCAAATCACCTCCCAAAATTCCGGTTTGTGTGCCCAACATGCTAGTAGCCAAGACACTGAGACACCGGTGCTCGGAGACAGAGGCAGGTTTATTCCATGAGGCCAAAGCGAAAGGAGAGGACAGCAAGGCCTCTCAAATTTGTCTTTTCCAAAAGCCAACGTAGAGCATTTTTATGCAGCCAGGGAGTGGGGGGAGGGGAGTGGCGGAGAAGCTAGAGAGGAGTCTGGCTTCTTCAGGCTGAGAGAGCGCTTTTTCTTTTCTTTTTAGTTATATTATTATGATTTAACATTTCAGAGATGCTTGAGCGCGTTTTCATATCAGAGCTGGGGGCCAGCAGCTGCCTCAGAGACGCTCTCTTCTGCAGGACAAACTCAGGAATTCTCCTCGACTCCGAAGTCATCTCCAGCTTGACAAAGAGACACACTCATCAGCCACTTAGGACTACCTTTCCCGGAACAAGGGAGGAGGGCAGGAAGAGCTCCTGCCACTTGAACAAAGGCCTAACTAAGAATTAAATGATTTATTCTAGCTGCTCAAAAGACCAGGGGTATAAAGTCCCGAGGGGCTGCGCTGCGGCATCTGCCATGAGGAGCCTGGGCAGCCGAAGGCAATGCAGCCGTTCTCGGGGAGCTCAAGTCTGTCTTGAAGGATGTTTCTCCAGTCTTCGGCTGGTCACACTTCTACACATTCATGGCCACTTATGTTCAGTTTAATAGCAAGATGTGGTTCATGTGGTGAGATGGAAGGACCCAAGTCAGGGGAGCATCTTTGCTGGGGGGAGAGGGAGGCAGGGGTGGAGGGAGGAAGTGGGGAGCACCTGAGGGAGCAGAGAGGTCCTGAACTCAGGTGAAGGCAGTGGAAGTGGAGGAGGAGCAGGAGTGAGAGAGGAGGGAGAGTAGGCCGAGGAAACCATTACCAGAGGATGCTATTGAGCTGCTCCTGCAGAATATAATAATGTCGACGCACATTTCTCCAATAGCTGAAGTTCTTTCCCCCGTTGTACACAAAGATATTCCAACAGTATTCAAAATCTGAGGCAAAGAGGGGAGGAAGCAGTCAGGTCTGGCCTCGGACCCTTTCTCTCCTGACCTCCCCGGCCTCCCCTCAGGGTCTGGCCTCCTCCCTGCCAGCTGCCATCACTCCTGCCTCAGTTTCCTACTTTGCCCTTCCACTCACCCTCCCTGGGCAATTCTCGGTCCTAGTCCCTCCACAGCCCTGCCCCGGCTCCCTCTGCTCTCACCCTCTGGAGACATCATGGCCACCTGGGCCCCTGCCCCCTGCAGGGCTCGCAGCCCCTGGTCGTCAGCGGGCTCAACCCGGTAGAGGCGCGCAGCAAAGATGCTCAGGCTGACGTTCTCGTGCTCACACAGGACGGCAGCCACCTCCTCTGCACAGTCGAAGCAGGGGCTCCAGGACGTGTACCAGGTGACATGGTATTCTGCATCAGGGGACTCAATCCTGTCACAGAACCAGTTCAGGAAGCAGAGTTCTGCGTGGCTAGAATCCTCCTGGTACAGATGAAAAAGAAAGGGTACCCTCTGGGCCGGCAGAGCACGCACGTGGCAGGGCTGGCAGGGTGGGGACCAGGGCACAGGGAGCAAGAGTCTCAGGGGCATGTTATTGATTGCTTCATCCCTTTGTACACTCCTCCCTTCCCTGTTCTTATTTAGACATCCCTTCCACACTCATCCATGAACTCCAACATGCACTCTCCCATTCGTTCATTCTACAAGCATTCTGAGTGCCTGCTCCAGGCCAGGCCTCTGGGGTCCAGGCTTGTGCCCTGGGTGCTGTCTGCTGGGGACGGCCACGGAGCTGCGCTGCCCACAGGGGAGCCCCTAGCCACTTGAAACGGGGCTCGCCAGAATTCAGATGTGTGGCAAGTGTGAAATACACACCCATCTCCATGCCTTAGTAGGAGAAAAGAATGTAAACTATCTCCGGAGGGACTTTTATATTAACTGCATGCTGAAATAATACCTTCTCTATCTTACAAAGTACATGATCAACATTAAATTCATCAGTTTCTCTCAGAGTTTGCATCCTGGGCACTAGAAAAGGCTAAATGACCCAGGTGACCAGATTAGCTTCCATGGGGTAGGACGGCTACAGGGACACCCCGCCCATCCTGCCCTGAGTTCTGAGCAGTCTGCAGTCTGGGTGGAGAAGGGAGGGCTGCTCAGCGGTGGGACCCTTCACAGGAGAGGTTAGTGGCTGGCTGCTGGGTGGTGGGCTTGCTCCGTGTCTGCTGAGGCTGCTGTCCTCATCCAGGCAGACCTGGGCCGAGGGCTCAGAGCAGGCTGGGGGCTGGCAGGACATGGGTGTGGGTTCTCCCCTGGGGGTCACACATCCTGGGCCTGGAGGACTCAGGGGTGTGGCTGGGGAGGAACCCAGCCAGCAGGGCACTTCCTGGGACCAGATAAGGCCCCGGTTTTCTAAGATGCTCTTTCCTCCCAGTGTGCTCCAGGGCCCTGGATGAGGTGGGGACTGACAGCCAGCACAGTCTAAAAGAGGCCTCGTGGATAAGTCAATGCCATGGTGTCCACGGATTCAGGAGGGTCAAGCAGGGCCCTCAAGGGCTAAACCTTAGGACATTGCAGTGGGGAAAAACCTCAGGCACTTTACACATTATAATTTTTTCACATCTTTCTCTGGCTTAGCCCCTGCCTTTGATGACAGTATAATGGGGCACATACCTGATTTCGAAAGACCCCCTTGGTAGACCAAATGAATGAGCCCTGCTCCCAACATTCCACTTCGAAACAGAGGTAGGTGGAGTTCCGCCCGGAGGCATATAGCAGGTTGCGGAACTGGAAGTTGAAGATGTTGGGATATAATCTTCTCAGTGGGTTGCAGGAGGCAAGAGAGAAAAGAGAAAATTCGGTGTCTCCTGGAGTTTCTCCCATCTGGAGTCTCCTAAACAGGGCCCCCTGGATGCCCTGGGTGCTGTGCCTTCCTGGAACCCCTTCCCTTCCAATTTCCTGCTGCCCCCAGGCAGAAAGACTGGGGGAGGGGGGACCTGCAGGGACAGCAGGGACCCGCGACCTCTCCTATAGGACCCCGGCTTGCTGCTTTGAACAGCACACACCGCACCTCACCCCAGATTCCTGCCCAGCCTCCCCCAAATCATTCAAAAATGTAAATGAGTAACAAAACCCTCTCCACCCTCAAAGGGAGTGAGAGATATAAACATCAATTTTAGAGAGAAACATCAATTGGCTGCCTCCTGCACAACCGCTGCTGAGGATCAAGCCCTCAACCCAGAAATGTGCCCTGATCAGGAATCAAACCAGGACCTCTGAGTCCATGGGACAACGCTCAGACCACTGACCTACACCTGTGGGGTGAATTATAGATTTTAATATTAAGGTTCAATTCATGACTGACTTCATCTATGTATGTTTATTTATTTATTTTTAACATATCAGCCTACCACCTAAATTTGCAGGCTCAGCGACTGCTCTAAGAGCTACTGGTATTCGAACTCCTCTATTCCTCCCAAATCGAGGGGAGCCAGCCCATTTTATAGAGAAGAGATGGGGGGGGGCAGAGAGGGGAGGAGCCTGCTCAAGCCCCAGGGCTGCTAAGTAACAGAGCTGGGCTCTGCCCGGGCAAAGCCAGGTCCAGCCCTTACGTGATGGGGGCTGGAGCGGTGGCCTGTGGCCCAGAGGCTCTCTTCCCCCTCATGAGCTGTGAGCATTCGCGGCACTGCCCCCACTTCCGGCTGGTGGGACGCGTACAAACGTAGGGTGGTGGGTGCGTCTGGGAACAGGCTGACTCACAGTGGAGATGTCCTGGAGGAGAGGACTTACCTGCCTGCTCAGAGAGCCACTCTCACCTGTGCGTACGGGTCAGGGGCATAGAAAGTGCATCAAGCTAAATGCACCAAGTGCCTCACTCGTGCTTCAGTCCCAGTTCTAACTGTTCAGAGGGCACAGGAGAGACCACGGAACAGGCAGCCCGGCAGGCAGGGAGGGGACCACAGAGCAGCCCCACAGACTTACGGACTGAGGTGGACCAGGAGGACAACGGGACTGGGGAAGCTACAGGAGGGGCCCTTCAGAAGCAGTGGGCGGGACCTCCCCAGAAGAGGGCAAAGCCCCGATGGAGTGGGACCTGCAAAGAAGGAGCCCAGAGAGGGAGAGAAGCCAGGCTAGACCGGGGGGAGGGCAAGGCTGAGGGCAGGATCCCTGGGGGCTGCCATGTAGAAAGGGGCTCCAGAGGGGGCAGAGTGGGGGCAGTACCTGCGCCAGGGTCTCTGGATGTAGCTTTCTTCCCAGACCCAGTTCCTCCTTGCCATTTCTCTCCAGTGCCAAAACTGCGTTTTTGCTCACAGAGCCTCTGCTTTAGGAAAGTCCCTTGTCTGAGGATCGCCCAGACTTCTCAGCTGAGCCCCCTCCTTCCTGCTTTGGCAGATGGTGGGAGGGCCCTGGGGTGTGAGCCTCCTCAGGTTCAAACCCAACTTCTCTCCTCTGCCCTCCCTCTGGGCAGAGCGCCACCTTGCTGGAGACGGGCTCCTCTGTGCCCCAGGGTTACTGCAAAGGGAAAGTGAAAGTGATGATAGCAGGGGAGGGGAGGAGGATCCGACTGGCCCTTCTGATCAGAGCAGGAAGCAGGCCCTGCCCCCCTGGAGGGGCAGGCTGGAGCCCTCTCCACCCTGCACCCACCCAAGCCTTGCTCTCCACCTGCCTGTTGAATGATGGAGGTGATGAGACACTGTGGACCTTGGATCCGGGACAAATGTGCTTTGAGTTCCTAGTTCTATGCTTGGTCCTCCGCAAAGGTCCCCTCTGCCTTCACATGGTGGGGAGGCCAATGGGGGCATGCTGCTGTCCCTCTCGCTTTATAAGAGGTTTTAGACATTCTGGATAGTAATCCTCTCTCACGTACATGCATTGCAGATGCTTTATTTCAATGTGTGGTGGGCTCTCACTTTATGAAGTTGTTCCATATACAGATGTTTCAACCTTCTTCATTTTCAACTGTATTCTTTTCTTTATGAATGTTGAGGATAAGACATAGATATCTAATTTTTAATTTTATATTGGATAAACAATGCAAGAACATTTAATAACTCTCCTTACACATCATTTGGTCCTACTAAAGTGTAATGCCACAACCTTGAGCGAGTCTGTGTAATGGGGCGGGGTGAGGGCTGCCCCGACCTCTCTCGTCCGCTCCACTGCCTCATGTGACTCTGGGCGGCTGCCATGATGCTCTGCTAGGTCTTCAGAGAAGGTCCAGTACGCAGTATGCAGATCCACCTGACGTTCTTCTCCCGTGAAGTTGTATTGGCCCTTTATGAGTCTACATGAATTTAGGGACACGCTTTGGTGTTCCAGGAGATCCCTTCTTATCACCGAGTAGGTCAGTTTGGGCAGGCATGGACATCTCTTTGCCATGAACGTGGTATATAGCTCAATTTCTATAGGCCTTCTTTTATGCTGTCAGTGAGTCTGAAGTCAGGTTAAAGAGGACGTAAGATAAGAGGCAGCCATGAGGAAGAAGAGGTGGAGAGTGTGTGGGGAGGAACAGACAGGATAAACAGGAAGATATACCACTCTGGGCATCGGACCGAGGCAAAGCGGCCTGGAGAGAGGAAAGAAAGGAGGGAGGAAGGGGGAGAAAGGGATGAGAATCTGGCCTCTACATTGTCTACCTGCGACCTTGGGAAAAGGGAAAAAGGACTTCTCTTCACACCAACACGGTGTTAGGAGGAATTCCCTGCTCGGAGAACTGGTGCAGTCTGGGTAAGCCTGGGCATGAAAGGGCTTAGCCCAGGTCCCCAGACAAGGTGAGTCTGCACCAATAGGCCAAGGTTACTTTGAAGACAAGTGAATCGACTCCTTCCTCAATTCGCCCCGCCTCACTAGGGCAAGGTGCCCTCACCGTGGGATTCACAGTCACCTGGCACAGCTGCAGCAGGGTCAGGAAGAGTCACAGGAATGAGGCCATCAGCCTAGAGGCTATGCTGGGACCCCTAGGGAGAGGTCAGGTGAGATGCTGGGTTAGGAGACAGGAGGAGCACCCAGGGTCAGAGAGCCTGCAGAGGAGAGGGAGGGATCCCCATCAGGGAAGGCAGCAGGGGGAGCTCAGGAGCAGGAACTGACCCTGTCCTGGGTCACAGCCATGACCACCTGCTGAGGCCCCCATGTTACCTGTCACCACTTATTCCCAGCACCTGACTTCACCGGGTGTGAGTGGAATCTGCTGGAGGACTGAGGGATTATTTGTAAACTGAGTGATTTATTGAACCAGAGATTTCTCTCTCCCTCTCTCTCAATTTTATAATAACCTTGCCTTTGTTGAAGATTATCTCAAACATTGTTCTGAATGCCCCACAATCAACTGTCATGCCAGCCCCCAAGGTCAGTCACTGTTACTCTCCATGTGCTACAGGTGAGGAACCCCAGAGCCAGTCCCGTTCCCTCTGCAGCACCCATGGGGTCTCCAGAGGAAACACCTCTGGAAACTGATTGACGGGGTATCCCATCAGCAGCCCTTCACGCTAGGTCATTGCTATGGTCCTGTCCCCTTTCTGCTCCCTTGGAATCAGGCATGATGTCTGGAGGTAGGCAGCCATCTGAGGCTTGGAGGAGACCAGCAAGAAAGACAAACCCCTAGAGCAGAGCTTGGGGACAGGGCATTGGCCCTGGTGCCCGTGCCAACAGCAACCCTGAGCAGCTGAGCCAGGCCCACACCCTGCTAGCCCCCCCACAGGTCTTGTTCTATGAAACAGGGACTTTCAGCCCCTCTAGGCAGCTTGCTGACACTGGCAGCCACAGTCCCCTGACACCCAGCTTTCTGCCTTAGGCTCCTTCTTGCCCCTTGTCATCCCGCCATTGGCCCTCGGTCCTGCTTTGCCCCTCTCCTGTCCTTTTCTTCTATCTCTCCAGGTCACTTATCAGTTATTTCCTCTAACTTGTGTCCTCCCTGACTTAGTCCTGTCCTCCCACTTTGGCCACGGTCATCATGACTGCCCTTATTCTTTATCCCTCCAATGTCTCACACTAATTGATTCATCCCCTAGCCCCTGACAGTCATTGTGTGAGGTTGTGACACAGGTGGCCTCGACATGTGAGCTGAAGTCTGTGATGAGAGACCTGGGAGCCTTCGCTGCCCGGAAAGGCTTGTGCAGAGCACCCAGGTGCCTGGGGCTCACTTGGCATGATTCAGGCTCCACGTAGACTTTGCTGGACACACATGTGGTGCCTCCTTGGGTCCTGCTGGGCCCAGGTACTGTTAAGGGCAGAAATGACCCTCTGGCAGGGAGGCCCCTCCCTCTAGTTTCCTCTCCAGAACACCAAAATTAGGAATGACCTGAGGACTGGAGTAATTCCCAACCCCCTTCCTGTCAATTTGGATTTTTCTTCCCAGTAGTTACACTGAGTCTTTCTCTTGTCTTCTCTTATTGCATGGGCTGTCATTTCAGAAACAGCTCTGTTATCAGTATGGTAGTTTGTCAATGAATTTAGATTTTTGAATTTTAGATTCTGTTCCAATAAACATTATTGATTTTTATTTGACCATTGGAATTAGTGTGACCATTGCCCTCCCATGAAGGTCCCTGCAACAGAGAAAGGTATTTGCACATGTCTCTTAAACTATTTGGACTTTATGATACATTTACAGAGAAAAAACATTTTGTTGGCAATTCTTAATCTTTTATTTTATTGCTTTGGGTTTAAAATCAAAGAAAATAATTATTTCTCTAAAAATCAACATGGATTGTGATAGTATTGAATAAAATGTTACTGGGGTATATTCACACACCATAGATTTTAAATGAAGAGTAAATGAATCAAATTTTTAAAAATTTCTTAGGAGCTCATTGCCTTTTGCTGGTTTCTTTGGATCAGTTTGGAGATGGCGGCAAATGGTGAGCTTTCATTTCTTGATGAAAGTGTTTGATTCGTCGTTCGCCAGAAGACTCCTGCCTTCTTTAGAGAGATGACATCCAGCCTTCAGTTTTTCTGATTGTAGATGGAGAAGGTGGAGTTGTAGGGAGCCGATAGCGAGACAGGCGGAAAGGTGAACAGAGAAGAGATCTGGGGCAGGTGGAAAGATGGGGAAGGAAGGAGGGACACAAGGAGAAGAGAACGCAGAGGGACCTTGTGAGAGTTGAAGGGAGGGATGGTGCCCAGGAGGGAGCGGTTAACCCAGTGGAGGCCATTAGCAGAGGAAAAGAAAGACCCAGGGATGCCCTGGCTGGTTTGGCTCTTTGGTTAGAGCATCAGCCCACGGACCAATGAGTAGCAGGTTTGATTCCGGTCAAGGGCATGTACCTGGGTTGTGTTTAGGCCCCAACCCTGATTGGGGTCGTGAGGGAGGCAACCAGTCAATGTGCCCCCTCTCGTTGATGTCTTCTCTCTCTCTCTCTCTCTCTCTCTCTTCTCTCTCTGTCCCACTCTATCTGAACAAAAATGAAAAAATATCCTCAGGTGAGGATTAAAAAAAAAGAAAGAAAGGCCCCGGGAGAGAAGGTGAGGAGAGAGGAGGGCTTCAGGGAAAACAGGGAGCGAGGAACCTCACCTTGAGAATGTTCTCCAGCTGCTTAGACAGGTATCGACTGTTTCTATGTATCTTTTTCCAGGGCTGGAATACTAGTTGCTGGTGGTCCACGAAGGTTTTCCAGCAGTAAAAAAAGTCTGACAATCACAGGAGAGATAACGATGAGCTTCAACTCTGGGGAGCATGAGGGACCACACAGTATCTGACACTTAATGACACACTCACTCAATCATAATTTCACTGCTTTTTTTTCTCTTTTCGTCTCAGAAAATTAATTGTCACTTAAATTCTTTTTTCCAACCGGAATCTGAGGCAGCCCAATTCTGTCTCTTTCTGGAAGCCCCCTTCTTGCACATGTTCTTACCCTCCCTCCCCTGCCCTGGCCCACCTTTTCCCCTTGAACTCTCTCCTCCGGGGGACTCCCCAATCCTCTCGCATCCAGCACCACGTCCTCCTCGTCCTCCTCTGGCAACTAACGGAGGTTCTCCTTCCTCTCTGGGGAGTCTAGGTTCTTCCCACCTGGTCCTAGTCCCCCCCACATTTCTGCCTCAGCTCCCTCTGCTCACCATCTGCAGACATTATAGCCACCGAGGCTCCGGCGCTGTCCAGGCTGAGAAGCCCCTGCTGGTATTCTGGTTCCCGGGAGAAGTAGAGGCGGGCAGTGAAGATGCTCAGCTGTACATGCTTGTGGTCCTTCAGGTACTCCACCACCTTCCTTGCACACTCGAAGCAGGGGCTCCAGGACATGTACCATTTGACATGGTATTTCTCATCACGGGGCATGTTCTTGACCAAGAATACTTCCTGGGTTTTGAACCAGTCCAGGAAGCAGAGTTCTGCATGGTGAGGCTCCTCGGGATAGAACTGGGAGAGATGGAGAAGGAAAGGGTACCCTCTGGGCTGGCAGAGCAGGCACGTGGCAGGGCTGGCAGGGTGGGGACCAGGGCACAGGGAGCAAGAGTCTCAGGGGCATGTTATTGATTGCTTCATCCCTTTGTACACTCCTCCCTTCCCTGTTCTTATTTAGACATCCCTTCCACACTCATCCATGAACTCCAACATGCACTCTCCCATTCGTTCATTCTACAAGCATTCTGAGTGCCTGCTCCAGGCCAGGCCTCTGGGGTCCAGGCTTGTGCCCTGGGTGCTGTCTGCTGGGGACGGCCACGGAGCTGCGCTGCCCACAGGGGAGCCCCTAGCCACTTGAAACGGGGCTCGCCAGAATTCAGATGTGTGGCAAGTGTGAAATACACACCCATCTCCATTAGTAGGAGAAAAGAATGTAAACTATCTCCGGAGGGACTTTTATATTAACTGCATGCTGAAATAATACCTTCTCTATCTTACAAAGTCCATTATCAACATTAAATTCATCAGTTTCTCCCAGAGTTTGCACCCTGGGCACTAGAAAAGGCTAAATGACCCAGGTGACCGGATTAGCTTCCATGGGGTAGGACGGCTACAGGGACACCCCGCCCATCCTGCCCTGAGTTCTGAGCAGTCTGCAGTCTGGGTGGAGAAGGGAGGGCTGCTCAGCGGTGGGACCCTTCACAGGAGAGGTTAGTGGCTGGCTGCTGGGTGGTGGGCTTGCTCCGTGTCTGCTGAGGCTGCTGTCCTCATCCAGGCAGACCTGGGCCGAGGGCTCAGAGCAGGCTGGGGGGCTGGCAGGACATGGGTGTGGGTTCTCCCCTGGGGGTCACACATCCTGGGCCTGGAGGACTCAGGGGTGTGGCTGGGGAGGAACCCAGCCAGCAGAGCACTTCCTGGGACCAGATAAGGCCCCGGTTTTCTAAGATGCTCTTTCCTCCCAGTGTGCTCCAGGGCCCTGGATGAGGTGGGGACTGACAGCCAGCACAGTCTAAAAGAGGCCTCGTGGATAAGTCAATGCCATGGTGTCCACAGATTCAGGAGGGTCAAGCAGGGCCCTCAAGGGCTAAACCTTAGGACATTGCAATGGGAAGAAACCTCAGGCACTTTACACATTATAATTTTTCCGCATCCTTCTCTGGCTTAGCCCCTGCCTTTGATGACAGTATAATGGGGCACACACCTTGTTTTCAAAGACCCCCTTGTTAATGAGCACAGGTAAGCGGTTCTGGGTTCTTTCCACTTGGTAGCAGAGGTAGCAGCCATTCCGATATGGGGGGGTGGGCCAGTTTGTAAAGTGAAAGTAGAAATAATCACGATATAAACTTGTCATTGGATTCCTGGGGCAAAGAGAGAAAAGAGAAAATGCAGAGAGAGTTCCCGGAGTTTCTCCCATCTTTCTCCTGAACGGGCCCCCAGGCCCCGGGGTGCTGCACACCCAACAACCCCCTGCCCAGCATTTCCTGCTGCCCCCAGGCAGGAACACTGGGGCAGAGGAAGAGGAGGGGCACAGGGACAGCGGGGACCCTGCCTTCTTTCACAGGTCCAGCTGGACGGCATCAAACAGCACACACCCCACCCCAGCCCAGAACCTGTCTACCATCCCCAAACCATTCAAAAGTCCAGATGAGTAATACAACGCTCCTCACCCCCAAATTATAGATTTTAACATTAAGATTCAATCCATGACTGACTTTTAACGATGCAAGATTATTATTATATTTTAAGTATCAGGTTAACGCCTAAATTCCGAAGGCTCCAGCTACTGTTCTAAGAGCTACTGGTATCCGAACTCCTCTATTCCTCCCAAATCTAGGGGAGCCGGCCCATTTTATAGAGAAGAGATCGGGGCACAGAGAGGGGAGGAGCCTGCCCAAGCCCCAGGTCCAGCCCTTACGTGATGGGGGCTGGAGCGGTGGCCTGTGGCCCAGAGGCTCTCTTCCCCCTCATCGTGAGCTGTGAGCATTCGCGGCACTGCCCCCACTTCGGCTGGTGGGACGCGTACAAACGTAGGGTGGTGGGTGCGTCTGGGAACAGGCTGACTCACAGTGGAGATGTCCTGGAGGAGAGGACTTATCTGCCTGCTCAGAGAGCTCCTCTCACCTGTGCGTGCGGGTCAGGGGCATAGAAAGTGCATCAAGCTAAATGCACCAAGTGCCTCACTCGTGCTTCAGTCCCAGTTCTAACTGTTCAGAGGGCACAGGAGAGACCACGGAACAGGCAGCCCGGCAGGCAGGGAGGGGACCACAGAGCAGCCCCACAGACTTACGGACTGAGGTGGACCAGGAGGACAACGGGACTGGGGAAGCTACAGGAGGGGCCCTTCAGAAGCAGTGGGCGGGACCTCCCCAGAAGAGGGCAAAGCCCCGATGGAGTGGGACCTGCAAAGAAGGAGCCCAGAGAGGGAGAGAAGCCAGGCTAGACCGGGGGGAGGGCAAGGCTGAGGACAGGATCCCTGGGGGCTGCCATGTAGAAAGGGGCTACAGAGGGGGCAGAGTGGGGGCAGTACCTGCGCCAGGGTCTCTGGATGTAGCTTTCTTTCCTGTTCCTCCTTGCCATTTCTCTCCAGTGCCAAAATTCCTTTTTTGCTCACAGAGCCTCTGCTTTAGGAAAGTCCCTTGTCTGAGGACCGCCCAGACTTCTCAGCTGAGCCCCCTCCTTCCTGCTTTGGCAGATGGTGGGAGGGCCCTGGGGTGTGAGCCTCCTCAGGTTCAAACCCAACTTCTCTCCTCTGCCCTCCCTCTGGGCAGAGCGCCACCTTGCTGGAGACGGGCTCCTCTGTGCCCCAGGGTTACTGCAAAGGGAAAGTAAAAAGTGATGATAGCAGGGGAGGGGAGGGGGATCCGACAGCCCCTTCTGATCAGAGCAGGAAGCAGGCCCTGCCCCCCTGGAAGGGCAGGCTGGAGCCCTCTCCACCCCTGCACCCACCCAAGCCTTGCTCTCCACCTGCCTGTTGAATGATGGAGGTGATGAGACACTGTGGACCTTGGATCCGGGACAAATGTGCTTTGAGTTCCGAGTTCTATGCTTGGTCCTCTGCAAAGGTCCCCTCTGCCTTCACATGGTGGGGAGGCCAATGGGGGCATGCTGCTGTCCCTCTCGCTTTATGAGAGGTTTTAGACATTCTGGATAGTAATCCTCTCTCACGTACATGCATTGCAGATGCTTTATTTCAATGTGTGGTGGGCTCTCACTTTATGAAGTTGTTCCATATACAGATGTTTCAATCTTCTTCATTTTCAACGGTATTCTTTTCTTTATGAATGTTGAGGATAAGACATAGATATCTAATTTTTAATTTTATATTGGATAGACAATGCAAGAACATTTAATAACTCTCCTTACACATCATTTTGTCCTACTAAAGTGTAATGCCACAACCTTGAGCGAGTCTGTGTAATGGGGCGGGGTGAGGGCTGCCCCGACCTCTCTCGTCCGCTCCACTGCCTCATTTGACTCTGGGCGGCTGCCATGATGCTCTGCTAGGTCTTCAGAGAAGGTCCAGTACGCAGTATGCAGATCCACCTGACGTTCTTCTCCCGTGAAGTTGTATTGGCCCTTTATGAGTCTACATGAATCTAGAGAAACACTGGTGTTTTATGAGATGCCCTATTATCAAAGGGTAGGTCAGTTTTGGCAGGCATAGGCATCTCTGTGGCACTGAGACTGTCCATCCATGAACGTGGTATATAGCTCAAATTCTATAGGCCTTCATCTATGCTCCAGTGAGTCTAAAAGTTAAAGGGGAATCTGGAAGGTAAGAAAAGAGGAAGTCATAGGGGTGAAGAGGAGGGAAGTCAGTGTGGGGAGGAAGAGACAGGATCAAAAAGGAAGTTTTAGCACTCTGGGTGCATGGACAGACACAAAGAAGCCAGGAGACAGGAAGGAATGGAGGGAGGAAGGGAAAGAAAGGAATGAGAATCTGGCCTCTACATTGTCTACCTGCAACCTTGGGAAAAGGGAAAAAGGACTTCCTCAGAGCAATAAGGTGTTAGGTGGAATTCCCTGCTCGGAGAACTGGTGCAGTCTGGGTAAGCCTGGGCATGAAAGGGCTTAGCCCAGGTCCCCAGACAAGGTGAGTCTGCACCAAAAGGCCAAGGTTACTTTGAAGACAAGTGAATCGACTCCTTCGTCAATTCGCCCCGCCTCACTAGGGCAAGGTGCCCTCACCGTGGGATTCACAGTCACCTGGCACAGCTGCAGCAGGGTCAGGAAGAGTCACAGGAATGAGGCCATCAGCCTAGAGGCTATGCTGGGACCCCTAGGGAGAGGTCAGGTGAGATGCTGGGTTAGGAGACAGGAGGAGCACCCAGGGTCAGAGAGCCTGCAGAGGGGAGGGAGGGATCCCCATCAGGGAAGGCAGCAGGGGGAGCTCAGGAGCAGGAACTGACCCTGTCCTGGGTCACAGCCATGACCACCTGCTGAGGCCCCCATGTTACCAGTCACCACTTATTCCCAGCACCTGACTTCACCGGGTGTGAGTGGAATCTGCTGGAGGACTGAGGGATTATTTGTAAACTGAGTGATTTATTGAACCAGAGATTTCTCTCTCCCTCTCTCTCAATTTTATAATAACCTTGCCTTTGTTGAAGATTATCTCAAATATTGTTCTGAATGCCCCACAATCAACTGTCATGCCAGCCCCCAAGGTCAGTCACTGTTACTCTCCATGTGCTACAGGTGAGGAACCCCAGAGCCAGTCCCGTTCCCTCTGCAGCACCCATGGGGTCTCCAGAGGAAACACCTCTGGAAACTGATTGATGGGGTATCCCATCAGCAGCCCTTCACGCTAGATCATTGCTATGGTCCTGTCCTCTTTCTGCTCCCTTGGAATCAGGCATGATGTCTGGAGGTAGGCAGCCATCTGAGGCTTGGAGGAGACCAGCAAGAAAGACAAACCCCTAGAGCAGAGCTTGGGGACAGGGCATTGGCCCTGGTGCCCGTGCCAACAGCAACCCTGAGCAGCTGAGCCAGGCCCACACCCTGCTAGTTCCCCCCCCCCACACACACACAGGTCTTGTTCTGTGAAATAGGGACTTTCAGCCCCTCTAGGCAGCTTGCTGACACTGGCAGCCACAGTCCCCTGACACCCAGCCTTCTGCCTTAGGCTCCTTCTTGCCCCTTGTCATCCCACCATTGGCCCTCGGTCCTGCTTTGCCCCTCTCCTGTCCTTTTCTTCTATCTCTCCAGGTCACTTATCAGTTATTCCCTCTAACTTGTGTCCTCCCTGACTTAGTCCTGTCCTCCCACTTTGGCCACGGTCATCATGACTGCCCTTATTCTTTATCCCTCCAATGTCTCACACTAACTGATTCATCCCCTAGCCCCTGACAGTCATTGTGTGAGGTTGTGACACAGGTGGCCTCGACATGTGAGCTGAAGTCTGTGATGAGAGACCTGGGAGCCTTCGCTGCCCGGAAAGGCTTGTGCAGAGCACCCAGGTGCCTGGGGCTCACTTGGCATGATTCAGGCTCCACGTAGACTTTGCTGGACACACATGTGGTGCCTCCTTGGGTCCTGCTGGGCCCAGGTACTGTTAAGGGCAGAAATGATCCTCTGGCAGGGAGGCCCCTCCCTCTAGTTTCCTCTCCAGAACACCAAAATTAGGAATGACCTGAGGACTGGAGTAATTCCCAACCCCCTTCCTGTCAATTTGGATTTTTCTTCCCAGTAGTTACACTGAGTCTTTCTCTTGTCTTCTCTTATTGCATGGTCTGTCATTTCAGAAACAGCTCTGCTATCAGTATGGTATTTGTCAATGAATTTAGATATTTGAATTTTAGAATGTGTTCCTATAAATGTTATTCATTTTTATTTGACCAATGGAATTAGTGTAACCACTGCCCTCCCACGAAGGTCCCTACAACAGAAAAAGTTATTTGCACATTTGTACATGTCTCAAACTATTTGGACTTTATGATACATTTACAGAGAAAAAACATTTTGTTGGCAATTTTATTGCTTTGGGTTTAAAATCAAAGAAAATAATCATTTCTTTAAAAATCAACATGGATTGTGATAGTATTGAGTAAAATGTTACTGGTGTATATTCACACACCATAGATTTTAAATGAAGAGTAAATGAATCAAATTTTTAAAAATTTCTTAGGAGCTCATTGCCTTTTGCTGGTTTCTTTGGATCAGTTTGGAGATGGCGGCAAATGGTGAGCTTTCATTTCTCGATGAAAGTGTTTGATTCGTCATTCGCCAGAAGACTCCTGCCTTCTTTAGAGAGATGACATCCAGCCTTCAGTTTTTCTGATTGTAGATGGAGAAGGTGGAGTTGTAGGGAGCAGATAGCGAGACAGGCGGAAAGGTGAACAGAGAAGAGATCTGGGGCAGGTAGAAAGATGGGGAAGGAAGGAGGGACACAAGGAGAAGAGAACGCAGAGGGACCTTGTGAGAGTTGAAGGGAGGGATGGTGCCCAGGAGGGAGCGGTTAACCCAGTGGAGGCCATTAGCAGAGGAAAAGAAAGGCCCAGGGAGAAAAGGTGAGGAGAGAGGAGGGCGAGGAGGGTAGGAGGGGTGGAACAGGAACAGAGGAACCTCACCTGATAATTTTCTCCAGCTCCATTGACAGGTAATTTCTGGTTTTATCCAGGTTATCTTGGGGCTGGAATTCTTGGCCCTTGTTGTCCACAAATGTTTCCCAGCAGTACTTCATCTCTGATATGGAGCAGAGGAAGTCAAGGTGAGCTCCAGTTTTAGAGAGTAGGGAGGGGCCACCCAGGAAGTGACTCTAAGGGACACACTCTCTGCCTCCTTTCTATTTCCTCCCAAGGGACTTAGTTTATCCCTCAAATTCTTTCTTCCAACTGGAATCTAAGGCAGCCCCATCACCTTCTACCAGGTGGTACCTGGGTCCTATTGCACACCTGCCCACCCTCTCTCCACTCCCCAGGACTACCTCTCTCCCTGAATTTTCTCCTCCAGGAAACTCCCCAGTCCTCCTCAGATCCCACCCACCTCTGTGGGCAGCTAACAGGTTTGTCCACTAGACATTCTCAGCCAGCCCCCCTCTTTCTAGCAATTTCCCCAGGGGCCTCTGTCCCTGCCACCTCCCACCCTTACGAGTCTCTTGCTGACCTTTGCTGGTCATGATGGCAATTTGGGCCCCAGCATTCTGCAGTGCGAGCAGCCCTTGTTTATACCCGCTGATGCTATAGATGCGGGCACAGAAGATGCTCAGGCTCACATGGCTGTTCTCGACCAGGAATGCAGCCAGTTGTAGGGCACAGTCATAGCAGGGGCTCCAGGAGATGAAACAGGTGATTGTGCAGAGCTTCTCGTCCAGGTTCCAAGAAGGGATCAGATCCAGGAAACACAACTCTGCATGGCGGCGTGGCCCAGGGTTTCTGCCCTGAGCACAAGAGGGAGAAGAGTCCTCTGTCACTGGCTATTAACATGGGGAGGGGGAGGCCGGGACTAGGGTGAGACAGGTGAGGCACTAGCCTTGGGCACAAAATTAAAGGGGGGGGGGGTGCTCAGCATCAGCATCAAGGTGAATGACATTTCAGTGCAGGATTTACTTGTCAAAGGTTAGGCGAAACCCTCGATAAACACGGAATCAGCATTTTAGCAAGGTCCAGGTCGGCAGTGATGACGAGTCATCTCACATCAGCAGACCAGGGCTCTGCCCAGCACTGCAATTGATCAGTCTTCATTCAAGATGTTGATATTTCGTTCACCATGGAATTTGCATTAATTTTTATTTTTAAACTATTGCATCAAATATGATTTTATCTTGATTACTGAGTTGCTGGACCCCCTCTATTTTGTGCCCGAAGTTTATGCCTTCGGGAGCCACACCTAATTGGGCCCTGCAGGGAGGAGATGAAGAGCTGAGGGCAGTGAGGAGGCAGGTGAGTGCCAAGGCCTGACGCCACAGCAATGGGTGCTTCCTCCAGGGAGGGATTTACCCTGCTGCCCTATCCCACCCTCCCTCCTGTGCGCCAACACTTCTACAAGCTTCGACTCTGGGCTTCACCCTGTGCTGAGCCCAGGGGTGATACACCTCTGCAGGGAGGGATGGGGTGAGGGGCACCAAGGCAGAGGTGCCCGAAAAACAGGATGAATGTCACTGTTTGGGGCTTATAGGGCTTGGAGACCTGTCTACCCACAGAGGGGAGGGTTTTCAACCAGGGGTTCAGAGAAGAGGAATAAGTCAGGCCGACCGTGCTGGGAGGGGATGGGGAGCTGGGGACCAGGAGGCAGCCCTGGGCTGGGTGTAGCTAGCAGTGCAGCCGTGGGACCAGCTCCCTGCCAGGATCGAGTGACTGGAGGGAGCATCAAGGGAGATCATAGGCTCCCTGGCGAGAGGCTGCCCTGGGCAGGGTCCAGGGGGAACCAGACCCCTTGTCCAGATGCCCTTCCCTCCATCCTGACCCCCTCAGAGGCATGGCAGGAGGGGCAGGCTGAGCCCTGGAGCCTGGGGTGACACTGGGCTGGTGATTCCAGGCCCTTGGACACTATGACTACTTTCTTATGTGTAACGCAAAGCTGCCAATCACAGCAGAATTTGTCCTCTCTGTCTCTAGGCAAAACCACAGCAGCTACGGGGACCAAAGGGACAACGTTTACGGGACATCCCTTGTGCACTGAAAACCTCCTCCCTGAGTGTCCCAGGATGGGGAGGCCCTGCCTCTGTGGCCCGTCACCTGATTGCGCAGGAAGCCCTTGAACTCCTTCACTGGGTCCTGAGAGTCGTCCTTGAACACCTTCACCTCATAGCACAGGTATGTTTGGTGCAGCTGTGTTTCACCGAAGTTGTGCGTGAAGGTGTATTTATCCATCAAGTGTCTGTGGACACAGGCAGGAGGAACCCAAAGGCGTGGGGCTCTTCTGGGGATCACCCAGTTCTCGTGCCCTTCACCCACATCCCTTCCCCTTCACCTTGAGCTTCCCAGCCAGACCTACAGAGGATGGGTGTCCCCTCACTGAGCTAGAGCCACCTAACCTTCCTCTCTGACCCTGACCCCTTCCTTCTAGGGCTCCTGGGGACACTGGCTCAGACCTTCCTTCCGGGTCCCCCCAGGAGCAGTGCCAGGGCTCAGAGCTCTGACAGGGGCCTCCCCTGGCATCGCCGCCCTGCCCTTGCCCGCTGGCCCGTGCCCTGCTGGGTGCAGGCCCAGCGGCACTTTTCCTCTTGTCTTCAGGCTGAGCTGCCCAGTCACCAGCCAAGCCCCTCCCCGAGTGGGACCATCAGGGAAAAGAGAAAGCAAACTATTCTTCTAAAAAACATTCGTGGTATTTTCTTTCTAATTATGAAAAGAGTAATGCCCTTATAAAAACAAAAACATAAATTTGAATGCGACCTCCTAGTCCACAGTTCAGAGCAGAAAGAATAGATCTCCTAGGGGGTGGAGGGGCAGGAGGAACGGGGCAGCACGGGTGGCTCCCCAGGGTCCGGCCCTGGGGCCTAAGGGAAGCGGGTAGGACCAGCAAACTGAGCATCAGCCGAGGGGTCCTGGCTGGACACAGAAGGGCCAGCAGGAGGGAGGTGGAGAAGCAGAGGAGTCCCCAGGGGAGATGGCAATTCCCCATCAGGGAACCTGGGGGAGGGACTCAGAAGCAGGGGTGCTCCCAGGAGCAGGGGGTACCTGTCACTGGGTGCTTGATCGGCCTCCATGTTTCAGTTTTTTCACTGTCCTTGGCTCTGTGTCCTTTGCTTCTCCGCCTGGTCACAGCCTGTGGCCTCTGCCTGTGATGCTTTCAAGGACCCAGGTGCCTTATATGCCATCAGAGCACGAGGAAGCTGCTGAGTTGGCAATGCTGCACCCCACCCCTTTCCTGACTCAGGCCACTCATGCCACCCACATGGAGTCACAGAAGAAGGAACCTCTTTTCTCAAATGTCATCTCCTATGCCCTCAGGGACAAGTTAGGTTTCTATGTCTCTGTTCTGACAAAGGCCCTACCTGGACTCCATGACTGACCTGGGCCAATGAGGTCTCAGGAGGTTGGGGTCACGCTGGGCAGCATAGCACAGCGAGGCAGGAGGTGATCGGACATGTGTTCATACCCTGAGGAAGGTCCGGGCACAGGACACAGAGCCCCCAGAGGACAGGTCCCAGGGCGCCCATCTCTGAGTCCCCCGCAGCAGCCAGTGCAGGGCATGGTCCAGGCTCCCTGCAGCCTGCTGGGCAGAGGGGCCTGGGGGCGTGCGCGAGGAGGGGACTCTGCTCGGAGAGGCAGCAGAGGGCTTCATCTCGGTGCAGGAAGGGAAGGGAGGGACAGACATGTGCTGGGCTCTCCTTAGGAGCCCACCTGTGTCTTAGGTGTTCGTGTTTGTCCCTGAGCGGATGCCCCCTGTCCCAGTGACTGTCCATCCTGGTTCCTCCTAGACACCCCCGTGCTGGCCCAGCGCTGCCCCCCAGGGCAAGTGCCCAGCTCGGGAGAGCCGGGCCGGCCCACTGAGTCCCAGCCTGGCTGCCTACACCGCAAACCACGCTGCTCACCCTTTCAAGCTGTCTCGTCACATCCTGAAGGTGGAAACCTTCCATAGTGTCCCCCTTTTTCTCAGGTGGGCGCCCCTCCACACACACGGACAGATGTCCTCTGCACTGAGGCCCCTCCCATCTCCTATGTCCTCTCGACCTGGTGCCCCTTAAACCAGACTATGTTCTCCTGGTTGGTGGCTCTGGTGGTTTCCAGGGTGTGGAACACGTATCTGGGTGTATGTGTGTGTTCTACCAGTGTCCCTACTTCAGAGGTCATGTTCTCCACCCACAGTACACTGTCCACACCCAGGAATTTCCAGACACCAGGCCTGGGATCCCTGAGAATTGCCCCGCACTGTCCCCGGGCCTGCCTTCCGGACAGGGACAACGGCGCTCTGCTCCAGGCCAGCTCCCCTGGAACCCGAGGCCCCCCGTCACTCAGCCCACAGCTTCTGAGCGCCCACGCCTGCCCGGGGGCCAGAGGGCCGGCCTCCTCCGCACAAACCCTGTGTTGGGGCAAAGGGTGACCAGAAGAGCGTGGGGTCCTGATGCACCGGCCTTGTGCCCTGGGGGACCTTGAAAGGTGAAGCCCCCATGCCCACCCCGTCCCTTCCCAGGGGCTGCTGCAGCCAGAGGGCCAGCACCTGCCCGGGGCTCAGCTTGGCGTCGCTTGCCCCCCAAGCACATGTGCTCTTGAAGGCTCTTCTGGAGTCTTGTGGGGAGACCAAGGAGGGGTCATCATTGCAGGGAGAGCACTTTGCTCCCCCGTTGCCGAAGGAGGTCTCACCCCCAGTCTAGCTCCTCAGCCAGCAGCAATGAGGGCTTCTCTTCTGGAATGTTCCCTGGGACCCCCTCTGTCTCCACTTGTCTCACCCCAGCCTGGCCAGTCACCCTGACCTGCTTGCTGCTGTAACACTGACCAGCCGGCCTCGCTTGTCTTCCCATCTGGGAGCCAGTTTCGCAGCGAGTGACCAGTACATAGGCGGCCAGGAGAGTCCTGGACGACTGGAGGGGACGCCACAGGTAACGATGCTTGGACCTTCTCCCAGAGGTTCACGTCTCGCATTATCTGTCTGAGTCCAATCGAGAAGGGGCAGGAGGATAGGGAGAGGTCAGCTCATGCTCGTTCCCTGCCCCTCCCGAGGCCCCGCCCGCCAGCATCCTCTCCCCGGCCTCCCTGGAGCCTGGCTGCCTGGGTGCAGCAGAGCCCGGCGTCCCTCGGGCCAGGGCAGACGTGGCCTTGCGAAGGCGCAGGAGAACCCAGTGGTGAGCGGGGATTCGAGCTGCGCTGGGCACTGCGACGCGATGAGCGGAAAGCGCGCGTCTCTCCAGTCTGTGACGTGAGAAGTAAGAAAAGAAATCCTCTCTTCTGGGGAATGACAGTCCGTCCCACGTCTGCCTCTGGAACACCAAGTGAAAACTGTAAAGCAATTCCTACATCCTGCTGGAGTTTTTCACCAAAGTGCGCAAAGGTCCGAGCAGAGAAGGAAGGACGGGGCCCCCAGGGAGGGGCGGGTGCGCGCGGGACAGTAGAGCCCTGAGCGGGTGCAGGCTGGGCTGGGGCTTTTCCTATTCCCTTGTCAGGGAAACTGGGGGCAGGGTGGGGTGCCCCGGGAAGCCCAGACTGAGGTCAGAGAGACAGGGCCTCCTCTGCCCTCACCCCTCTGGGGCCAGGGTAGATGGTCTGTATGTGTCTGGGTCCAGGCTGCTCTGTCTGAGGTCCCAGGTCGGCCTTCCTGTGGGTGGCCTTCCTGCCCTACCGCCCAGCCTAGCAGTGTTCCCAGGCTGTCACATCCCCTCTCCAAGCCCTCAGGCCTTGTGTCATGGGCAAAGCTTGGAGCCCAGGAGCCTGGAGATGGAGCCCTAGTGCGCTGTGGGACCTGGGGAGAGGGGCCCAGGGGCAGCGCAGTAAGACCACCTGCCCTCCACTGCGGCTTCCCGTCTACCCAGACCCTGCCCCTTGTGGAGTTTTGGTTCCTTGCTCACAGAGATGACGATGGTGTCAGATGATGATGTCAGAGCCCAGAAATTAAAACCTAAGGAACAAATTCAACGTTGAGGTTCTTCCCATAAAGTCCGCTTGGAAGGTGTCGACATCCTCTGTTTTTGTCAGAGAGGAGGTCAGCATCTGGGTGTGTGTGTGGAACCCCGAGGTGGTTCCCTTTTTGTCTGGTCCCTGTGAGCCTGCACCCTTTGTCAGCGGCAGGACTTGGCTGGGCCCGTTAGCCAGGGACAGCTGTGGGAGGCCTGTCTTCTGCCATGTCTGTGGCTTCCAGGGTCCTGGGGGTATCTTGAGGTGGAGCTGGCTGATATAATCCACCGCCAGGGGGCCCCGCCTGGAGATGGACGCAAGGTGTCCAGCCTCACTACAGCCCAGAGGAAGGGTCGGCTGCTCATCCTCCCTGCTCAGAATCCTGCTTCAGCCCCTGGCTGCCAGCGCTGGCCCCTGGCCACCTCTCCTACTGGGCTGGTCCTGAGTCTGCCAGGTGCCAGCGAGGTGACCCTCCGCACAGAATCAACACTCGACAACTGGCTCACGTAATTGATATTGCTCACTTTACCAACATACACCTGCTCCAGAGAGACCCAGATGGCCAGGGAGAGGAACCTGTGATCCATCCGACATGACCTGTTGTTTTTATTCCCACTCCCAAGTCTGAATCCCCTCGGGCCCTCCCGTGTTCACCTGAGTCCTGAGAGGAACGTCACTGGAGGGTGTTTCTGTTCCTCAGGCTCCGACAACCTGACGTTGTGTTGTTCGGGAAAGCTGTGGCTGTCACCTGTCACTGGCTCTGAGCCAGGGAGGCTGTGGCTCTGTTCTCAGAGGGTCCCTCCTCTGGGGGGGGGTGAACAGAGGCCTCAGGTCTGTGAGTTGCTGGGTCCATTTCTGACCCAGCTCCCTCTGCTGGGTATGTAGTAGGTGCTTGGTGTGCACCAATTCGACGACTTGCAAAGACTCGGGGGTGATGGAAGGACTTTGGGGAAGCAGCAGTCTGGCTTCCGTTCAGCTCCCGAGCGAGGAAACAGCTCATGGAAACAGCTAAGGCACCCTGAGCCTCACTGTGCTGGGCCAAGTTCTCTCCTCGCTCCTGTTTTCCTCCTGTTTATGGGGAGTCCTGAGAGCAGGAGGTGGGGCTGTGGGACGGAGGATCCACTCAGGAAACCGAGGTGAGGAGTCTGGACAGGGCCACGGACAGGAGAGGGGCAGGACCGACCCAGAGAGAAGGGCCTGGGAGAGAGGAATTTCCCCAGAAAATTCTATTTTATAGTCAGAGATGCTCCCAGGACTCGGCTCTCAGCACTGGCCTCCTCCCACTGGTGACCTCAGACTCCCAGATGGCTGCCCAGCTCCAGGCATCGGCGCTCAACCCAGGGAAAAAGAAAGAGGGCGGGGCAAAGCCCAGACCTGCAGGTCTGGAAATCCTGTTGGTGACAGGTGTGATTGTTTACCATGAGGGTGACCGGGGAGAAACCCACAAATCCAGTTTCTATTGGTAATTTCCAAGACCTCCTTTGTCCTCCCTCTTGGAGGCCTTCCTGCCCCCCATCTGGGCTTCCCCAGCCCGCCCCCCCCCCCCCGCCTCTCCCAGGCCCTTCTCTCTGGGTCGGTCCTGCCCCTCTCCTGTCCAGACTCCTCACCTCAGTTTCCTGAGTGGATCCTCCTTCCCACAGTCCCACCTCCTGCTCTCAGGACTCCCCAGTGTCTGAGCACCTCACTAGTTTTTCCTGTGACAAGTCTCTGCAGGGAGGCTGGGAGTCCGAGGACGGGGACTTGAGTCAGGGCCCAGCCTGCTCCATGCTCAGGACCTTGGACTTGACCACCTCGGGCCTTGAGCTCCTCCCTTGAACCCGGGGATAATGACAGTGACTGACCATGGGCCTGTTGTGACAGTTAACCGACAATGTGAACATCAAATGCTTAGAACAGTGTCTGAGATAGTTACTCCTCCACAAACAATCATTTTTTTCCTTTAAAAAGAGGCAGATCCCTCGTCGATAAAGCTCAGTGCTCCGAATCGCCTGCTCACACCGCGTGCAGCCAGGCCCCGGAAGACCTCAGCACGGCGGTGGCGGCTGAGACCCAGGACAGGCCCGGTTCCTGGGGAAGGAACTGAGGAAGGGGGGTGTCTGGGGCTGTATCCAGGCAGGGTGCCGGGGAGAGAGGAGCAACCACCGGGAAGCAAAGCCGCCCCCTGAGGATGGGTGTTCGGCCCTGGGGCAGGAGGCTCAGGGAGCAGAGACACCCACTGCCTGGGCG